AAATGTCTCATAAAACACCCTGGTAATTGTAAGATGTCACCGGTTGCCTCGGAATGAATGGAGAAATTGTTGCAACAAGGACACTGCAATGGCTGGCAATTCAAACAATCACTCATGTGGGCAGAGTAGCTTGAGTGAGTATGCCAAAGAAAATCCAGGCCGGCTACATCATATAAGAATCGATTCAACGATTAAATGCACCACGGTTAACTCGCCTAATCTGTATCTTCGTGGCGGACTATGCAGGTGTTCGACGTATAGAGAGTCCCAATTCTTCTTCTTCTTTCATTCGCTTGAAATAGATTATCTATATTTGAAATTTTGTCTCTAGTATGAACTTCACTGTCTTTTGTAATTCACTCAGCGGCCCGTAAATTGTGACTTGCTGCACCAATGTTTCTCTTGGCCAAAAGTTTTGCCTTGATATGTTGTATTTGGGACAGTCTTGGAGGACATGATCTGTTGTCTCAGGTACCAATCCTCATGTACAGATGGCTGATTCGCATAATTTCAAATTGTGTGTACATATGGCTGCGAAGTCGACTGTGTCCTGTTCTGAGGCGTAGAATAATAACAGGTTCTTAATTTATAACGTACCCCAAACACGAAATCCCCGTGGGAAATCCACAGCTGACCTGACAGTCCATTATTTAAAGGGGTGGAAGTGTGCTTTTTTTTTTTTTTTGAGTGTTCATCTAGTGTCTTCTAATCCTAACCCTAACCCGAAACTTTGCTGTAGATAAATCGAGAGAAACTACAACTGACTGACTGACTTTCTACCCCACCGGGACATCACACAAGCGATAAACACCCGATGACACAATGTGCCACCATATGGGTGAGGATCACCGTGGAGTGGTCCCAGAAACCGCGTTCAGCCTTTAGGCCATATTTATGGCCAGGCTATATTGCGGCCCCTGGCAAGAGCCAGAGTAGGGCTCCAAATAAAGAAAAATTTTGTCGTAAGAAGGACATTAAGATGAATAGCAGAAACTACAACCTGAAAACCCTAGCATTTATTGGGAATGTCTCCCGTGACGTTGTCGGGGCGTCAGGGGTAAGTTATAAATTAAGTACCTAATAACATGCTCTGGTCTGTCCATAAAATGGTAAGCGTCTTGTCCAGGTTTCGGTGGCTTGCTGACAGATTTGATTATTCTTTTCTTTTGTTGATATCCCGGCCTTGGATATTAGATCATTAATACCATATGAGATGGATATCGCAAAGAAGATCACGGCAAACAGGACTCAGTGTCCTTATCCAGGTTGCTGGATATGGGAGAGCAACCTGAAGCAGCTACACATAGACACCTCACTAATGGCACAAAAGTATGCTTACAATATTTCAGCTTCCGAGACAGTATGATGTTTATTGGCTTAGCTTCCTGGATTTTGAGGTCTTCTAAAATATCAATATTTTGTCTCTTCATTGTCCTTGATATTTTCAGAATCATTCTATAGCATTTCAACTCAAATCCCATATTTTCTTTTCTTAGGACTGGGAGATAGTCCACGACTCATAAGTGTGTGTTGCTACAAGAAAGATGCATGCTCCCAACATTTTAATTTTGATTTTCTTGCATAATTTCAGCAGGCACGAGAATTATTTGACACGTTATTATCTGTATAGTGGCCTTGGAGCTGCTACTGTTTTTAAGTGATTTGACATGCTCCAGAGATTATCGTTGATGCATAAGATAGTTCTTGCCTAATTAAATGCCAGTCACGTGGATTTTCTTGGTGGCTTTTAATCACGGGATTTACCGAAAATAAACACTGCTGTCTGTTAGATTCGGTATAAAGACACTGTTATTTTTTTAAATATCGTGTGGTCTCGTTCTCCACCTTGTCGTGGTGGGGGGAGCTTGTGTTTCTCAACGACCTTAAAGCTGTGAAGGCTTACAGCGTAGGGCCTCCCAAGCCGGAAAGGTCGAAGGGTAGAGAACAGACAACGAGAGACACCCTGGTCCTCTAGTTTGGAGGCTGAAGCGTGGGGCCGACACCTTCACCTTCGTAAAACTTTATCTCGTCACGAAAAAGATATCTAAGCAGCGATTTAAGATGGATTTAAACGGAAACCAAACCTGGAACATTAAGGAAATATTGATTTGTAACATGGAATGTACGAACCTTCTATAGAGCTGGAGCAGCTAAAAAAAAAACTGACCCGTAGGTTATCGAAATACAGAATGTGTATAACAGCAATTCAAGAAATAAGGTGGCCAAGTCAGGGTTCCATAGAGGAAAATTAAATGATCATAGTGTGTGGATGAGACACTCAAAATAAAGCAAGAAAAAGTTGACAGGGAAAGGATATAAACTAATATATATATATATATATATATATATATATATATATATATATATATATATATATATATATATATATATATAAATATATATATATATATATATATATATATATATATATATATATATATATATATATATATATATAAGGATATAAAGGATGATATGAAAATCAAACGAACGGAAACATACAAGTACTTGGGTGCAAACTTCAAATGCTCCAACATGCTGAGAGAAGAAATGCAATCTAGAATACAATCTGGAATAAAGTATGCTATGCCTTTCAACATTTGCTAAAGTCAAAGTGTCTGTCTTCAACACCAAGATCAAAATATATAAAACGTTGATAAGACCAGTCGTTTTAAATGACTCTAAAACTTGGAGCACAACTAAAATAGATGGCTTTGTTACAGGTTTTCGAAAACAGTCTTACGAAAAATCTTTGGACCATTCAACAGCGGTGAATGGAGAGTGAGATGCAACAATGAAATTCATAGTCTGTTTAAATCACCATTGGTCACTGGCAACATGAGAGCTAACAGACTGAAATGGTTGGGGCATATTGAAAGAATGTCAGATGACATAGAAGTAAAACTGTATACACAAGAGAGATAAATGGTCGTAGACCGTGAGGTAGACCAAGAAGATAATTGAGAGATAATGTCCAGGCATACCTGCAAACACTTGGTGTCATCAACTGGAAAGAAAAGGCAAACCAGAGAGATGAATGGAGGCAGGTGATATCTGCAGCAATAAAGCTCAAGGTCTCAAAATGCTGAAGAAGAAGAGAAAGAAGAAGTGTTGTCTCGTCTTTTATACTGGCTGTAAAACACAACTTCTCTGGCTAGTATACACTAAAGACAGGATCACAATATGTGTATCATCATTATCATCATCCATAGGCGACCATAGTCTCGGCTCCTGCGATCTCCATCTGCTTCAGGTAAAAGCGATAGGATCGACTTCATTGTACCAGGTTCTATCCCACATGCTCAGATCTCTCTCCACAAAATGCTTAGCCGCCTGCCAGTTACAGGCACTAAGCACGAACTGTGCAGCCCTAATTAAAAACAAAACCCAAGGATCTCTGTAGAAAAAAAAAAGAAGCTCCTGAACAGAACGACGCAGTCCGTGAAAAGAACCACAACCTTCAGAGCGCAGGGCAAACAATGTCACTAGTTTGCCACACACACAAAAACCACACTTCTCTCACCACAAATCTGGGAGAAATGTGGCTTTTCTGCCTACCCCCAGGCGTGATCCCAGACCACAAGGAGTTCGTCATCCGGTTGCCGAGTAGTAAGGTTAAACCACACCTACGCTAGGGAGCCGGATGGACAGACAGACAGACAGACAGACAGACAGACGGACGGACGGACGGACGGACGGACGGACGGACGGACGGACCGACCGACCGACCGACCGACCGACCGACCGACCGACCGACCGACCGACCGACCGACCGACGGACCGACGGACGGACGGACGGACGGACGGACGGACGGACGGACGGACGGACGGACGGACGGACGGACGGACGGACGGACGGACAGACAGACAGACAGACAGACAGACAGACAGACAGACAGACAGACAGACAGACAGACAGACAGACAGACAGACAGACAGACAGACAGACAGACAGACAGATAGATAGATAGATAGATAGATAGATAGATAGATAGATAGATAGATAGATAGATAGATAGATAGATAGATAGATAGATAGATAGATAGATAGATAGATAGATAGATAGATAGATAGATAGATAGATAGATAGATAGATAGATAGATAGAGATAGATAGATAGATAGATAGATAGATAGATAGATAGATAGATAGATAGATAGATAGATAGATAGATAGATAGATAGATAGATAGATAGATAGATAGATAGATAGATAGATAGATAGATAGATAGATAGATAGATAGATAGATAGATAGATAGGTAGGTAGGTAGGTAGGTAGGTAGGTAGGTAGGTAGGTAGGTAGGTAGGTAGGTAGGTAGGTAGGTAGGTAGGTAGGTAGGTAGGTAGGTAGGTAGGTAGGTAGGTAGGTAGGTAGGTAGGTAGGTAGGTAGGTAGGTAGGTAGGTAGGTAGGTAGGTAGGTAGGTAGGTAGGTAGGATAGATAGATAGATAGATAGATAGATAGATAGATAGATAGATAGATATAGATAGATAGATAGATAGATAGATAGATAGATAGATAGATAGATAGATAGATAGATAGATAGATAGATAGATAGATAGATAGATAGATAGATAGATAGATAGATAGATAGATAGATAGATAGATAGATAGATAGATAGATAGATAGATAGATAGATAGATAGATAGATAGATAGATAGATAGATAGATAGATAGATAGATAGATAGATAGATAGATAGATAGATAGATAGATAGATAGATAGATAGATAGATAGATAGATAGATAGATAGATAGATAGATAGATAGATAGATAGATAGATAGATAGATAGATAGATAACGAGTTACGTATTATTTTGTTTCAGAGAACCTTGAGCTAGCTAGCAAAGCAACGAAGGACTCAACTCCGGTGTCAAATGTGGTCTAATAATGGATGAACTATCACATGCAGCACCGCCCATGAACTTTGACCTGAAGAGAACTGTGCTCGTCTCAGAACAAAAGCATTACTCTAGTCTTTCCAGCTTCGGGTTGCTATGGCAAAACCTCAAAACCTGGATAAGTTAGCACTTTCCGTGGTGTCGACCCTGGTGGCGGTGACAGCTTGGACTTTGGTGATTGCCGGCTCATTCATCCCTCGCTGGGCACGGCCGTTGAATTCAAGTCGCACAGATGCCAACACAACATACAGTCTGTGGGGACGGGAGGACTGTTATGGAGTTATATGTTCCACAAAGTATAGGTACGCTGTTGAGTGTCTTGTTGTCTGATGTGCACGTTCCAGTGCTTTTATTGGATAATTTGATGCTATTGATAATGTTTTCTATTACTTGAGGTATGACTGAAATGATGTAAGAAAGGCGATTGACTACAAGGGCAAAATGTTTGATGGGCCTGCGAGCCAAATTCTTCACTCATTTGAAAATAAAGTTCGTTCTCTGCTGGGATAGGAGCTTCCACTACTACTAGGCGCGTCTACCGGGTGGTAGAGGGTGGAGTTACATCCAGATATAGCATTGCCCTGAACGGTCGGCTCTTGATACAACTGACGAAACAAGCGCAAGACGGTTTGCTGCCAAATAACCTGAAGCTGGGATCGAACCCGGGACCGCGGCATTACGAAAAGCGTTCGCAACGCATAGGCCACAGCTGCCGACATATACAGGTTAATCAAGAATATATTGAATAAGTAGTCACAGATCAACACAAGTTGTGGATTTTTTTTTTTTTTTTTGGGGGGGGGGGGGGGGGGAAGAGAGAGAGGCTGGGGGCTTCTTGATGATTTACAGAGGAATTCATAGAAATTTTGGGACAGCCAAGGAAAACGAAACCCAGATATGTTGAAAGAAGTGTGGACTTGACAACTTATCATAAACATTAGAATGAGGCTTTCGTGGTTTTTGGGTCATGTTTTAAAAAAGAAGGAAACTGTAACATGTTGTGGCCAATGGAAAGATCATCTGAAGGAAAAGAAAGCAGAGAAAGACAACGTGAGATGATTTTTGACAGCCTTTTGTAATAGCATGGAATGGTGTCAACACACGAACTACCCATGTTGTTTAAGATCGCAGATTGTGGAGTAGCATGATCGCACACGCCAGGGGCCATTGCACTTCATGATGATGATGTCTGTCTCTTTGCAGGCATCATAATTGCTTTCGCAATACTCAGTTTTCAAAGGAAACATTCGATTTCTATTTCTATCATTGCAGGAAAAAAAAGGGGGTGGGGCGAGGGGGGGGGGGGTTTGGAAAGAAATAGGAACAAGAAAGAAATGGATTGCAGACCGATTAATAGCTGAGAGTTTGAGAATATCATGGACATATACAAAACTGAAGGGAAAGTAGATTAGAAAGCTTAACAATATAACAAACACAAACGAAAAGTGAACTTTGTGACCACAGAGCCTTTATCAGCAAATTCATCAGTCAAATAAAACTGCACGAATACACAAAATCACTTAACATTTCCCGAAGGCAGCCCCGTTGATGTCTATCCAGTGGAGGAGAGTTTGAGAAGAAACATGTCAGAAACATGTGTTGGCAACACTGGTCATGCAATCTCAAGCACAAATTGCGGAAGACACTTTTGGCTTATGACACAGCCCATCGCTATGGGGTGCAACATAACTGTCTCCCTACAACAATTAGTTGCGTATCCTCTACAGGACGTTGCAGAACCAACCCAAGCATTTTTTGGCTGTTGTGCTTTCCCTAGGCAGATTTATGTCCAGTAGTTTACCAATGCTTTTTGGACAGTCGGCTTCTCGATACCACTGTCGAAACCAACGCAAGGGCCGCAGCTAGGATCAAACCCGGCACCCCAGCATTACAAAGCGCGTTCGTAACGTCTAAGCCACAGATGCCGACTTTCCACGACAGCACACTGGAAACTATTGTATGGAAAGATTTTAAAAAAAATGTGCCCACGTTAAAAAACAAAATGTCGGCATGTGTCGGCTGGGTGGAGATCAGCGTATTTGGAGGTCCCGCGTTCAAACCTCGGTAAAGGCTGGGACTTTTTTTTCACGTGGACTTCAAGTAATTTTCCTTGGTCTCTGGGTTGTAAGATCGGACGCCCGTGTGTTTATACAAAATTACTTGGCAGTTGGAAATCGTACAGAGCAGAATAACGGCGCAGCCTGGGAAAAATTTGAAGTTAAAAATCTACCCAAAGTGTTTTTAGGATCCTCTCCGGACTTAGGCTTGAGTTAGAAGTAGAACGGAGCACTTATGGGTCATACCATTGTCCCATGATGTTGGTTTGTTATTTAAACCTAAACCTCATGTCTTTACAAGTGTACTGTATGTTGATCTATGTAGTGTCTTATTTTAGCATGTGTAACATGTGCTACTGAACAAAGTACACCCCCCTCCCGCCCCAATTTTAAAAAAATTTAAAAACTGAGGAGGAAGAAAAAAAAAGGGGGGGGGGTGCTTTGTGGTGAAGTGATAAAACCGTTAGCCTCTCACTCCGAAGAATGTGGGTTCGTTTCACGGTTGCGTCGTTCGGTTCACGAGTGTACTTTTTGCGGAGATTGCTGGGATCGTCGCAGGAGCTACATAGTTCGCACTTTGTGCGACATTCTTGGCCTGCGGGTAGTCGTTATGCGCGAACAGACCGAGCTTTTGGAGATAAAAACCCGGAGCAACGAAGTTCATCCTTTCCACTTAACTTTTACAATTTTGAGAGTAGAAAAAAAATGGCTATAGTTCGTTCAACATCTCATGAACACACTTGAAAGCTATTTTCTCGAAAAATGCCGGTTAATTCTCAAAGATTTTTGCATGCGGCTGTAGAATATCCATGACGCAAAAACAGTCATATTCTTTAGTCCGTAGATGCTCAGGATGCTGAATACCAGCCAATTCCTGGATCTCTTCAAACCATTGTAAATAAGTATGGTGAACTTTTAGATTTTACTGTAAAAATCTGAAATTCCGGTTATATGTTTTATTTGAGGCGTGTCTTTATAATACATTGAGAGGTGAAAGAAATGCATTTGTTATCATTTACGTTCAAATGAGTAAGGTTAGCTTAGTCAAGAAAGACATCACAGCACTCGTGGTATTACCATATGCGCTCTGTTCCTATCTTCAACAGCCAGCGCAGAGTTCCAGTACCAATATTACCGGACGCAGTCTGATTTAATGTCCATCTTGCCATTCCTTTGAGTATAGTGTGCTGCTCAGACACTCTGGCCACACCTATGTTTATCATTCTCTCCAGGTCATGATAATATATTTTCTTTTCTGACTTCATTACTTGTTCCCAAAGGGCCTTGACATGTATCAACTCACCAACCCAGTGGTGCAGATCCAACCAATCTGACCGCCTTGTTCAATTGTAAACACGTCCCCCTCCTGTCTTGATTAGACACCACGGTGTATCTTAACTAGACATCAAATTGTATTATGGTTGACACATTTGGATATGGGGATGCATTTTATGCAACTGTAAATATACCTAACGGGCTGATGATATTCAACAACTCATCGAAAAATGGTTTTAATCATTCCAAATCTGACGATCCAAAAAGGTTGATAATTGTTACTGGCTGAACAAATTATAATCCATCTTGGTGCCAGTACTTGTCTTCCCTACGGAGCACATGTTCATCATACTTGTTCCAGAAATTATTGTCTTTTTTTTTTTCTACAGGACATTTTTTAATTGTGATTTCAATGCTTATTTCAGTTTCGGAGAGTAACAAGTTGATTTGTCTCTAACATATTTAAGATCTCACTTCTAATGATATCTACATCAAAATCGTCAACTTTCCTTTTCCTTCCTTGCTTGACATGAGTGTACTTTGTATCATATCTAATCCAATGGTTAAATGATGCTCTATCCAGAATAAGGACCAATCGTGTTGGTTTCTCTGGGTCATAAATATCACAATATAAATGACCCATCTTAAATTCCCTGAGGAAGTGCTGGTACAGCACTTTCTCTGTCCTTTATTTGCGAGTGGAGCACTGGCTTCTCAAACAGCGCAAAGTTATCCTGTACTTTTTCTAAGGCATACAGCATTCCCCCATATCCCTCCTATCTTTTAAACTTCACACTCTAGCCCTCTTCTGCACGTGTGCGCGTGTGTGCGCGCACCCGTGCGTGTGTTTTGTCTTCCTTTATTTCTATACCCCTGTAGGTTTCAGTAAAAAGATAGTCTATAGAGCTTTTTATCATACGCTCTATATGCGATTAGCTTGTAATAGAACCTTATTTATTTGTAACACTTTTACTGACGCTGTCGGTTATCTACATACAGGGATGAACACAAAGAAGTGAAAACCTGGTGGTTCGACGAGCACGGTCAGAAGCATGTCAAGGTGACGCAGAGCGTGGAAAAAGTGCCAATCACCACGTGCGTGGTGGCAAACTATTGCAACATCACGTGGTACGAGGACGTGGGTGAGTGTGCGTGTTTCACATGTTAAGTCAACTTCACATTATTTTTTTTTTAATATGAAACGATAAGACCCAAGGGCAAGCCCGCGCAATTGATGATATGTTCTTCTGTGTCTGTTTGTGGAAAATGTATGTGAAATACTCGAGCGGCTACACACACTGAGGTTTGAGGTTTGAAGAACAAACCAGCATCATGGCACACGGGTAGTAACCCATAAGTGCTCCGTTTTTCTTCTAACTTAAGTTTGAGTCCAAAGAAGCTTAACACAGTGCACAGGCTATGTAGCACCGGCGAGGATCCTGAAATACTTTGGGCAAATTTGTAACTCCAAATTGTTTGCCCGGGCAGCGCCGTAAATCTACACTTTTCGACTAGAAAGCGGACCATTGTCTAGATAAGCAAGAGCACTAACCACGACGAAAATTAAACAAATCTAAAAGGCAAGGGGGCCGCGTGGTCTCGAGGCATGGTGTCCGCCTCGAGTGCTAGATATTCCAGGCTTAATCCCACGATAGGGGCAGGCATCTTTTCACGTGGACTTGGCCTTCTTGTAATTCCCCCTGATCTCTGGATAGTGAGATCGGACGCCCGTGTGTATTGTTGCGCACCAAAAAAATAAATACCTTGGCAGTAGCAAATCAAAAAGAGTAGCCGAACGGCGCTGCCCGGGCAACATTTGGAGTTAAAAATCTGCCTAAAGTATTTCAGGATCCTCGCTGCTGCTACAGAACCTGTGCACTATGCTGAGCTTCTTCGGACTCAGACTTGAGTTAAAAGAAGAACAGAGCACTTATGGGTTACTACCCGTGTGCCA